TTATACGTCACCTACACATATAGATAAATTCATATGAATTTAATATAAAAATAATGTTCATGTTATGAATATCGACAAATTTGAAAAACAGATTCAAATGAAATTTGCAAAATACCATCAGAGGGCAAAAGGATAAGCTGTTTAAATTATTCAATGCAAAATGCTTCGTTGCATCTTTTACTCCATTGATATATCGTAAAAACATTATAACAGAAAAGGCTATTCTATTTACATTCATTCGTAATTTATCCTCAAACAATACACACCATTTAAATACAGTCTCACGACAAAACATCAATCTCTGTGAATTCGCTCTTGGTTAAATTTTAAGAGTTTAGATTTATTGAATGTTTTGATCATTGTAATTAGTTTCATTAATTTTTATAATTTATTTTTAAATAATTTTTAATTTATATTTGCGCATGATTAATTTCCTTGCTCTTTCACACACACACGCACGCACGCACGCACCCCCCTCCCCCAATGTATATATATATATATATATATATACGTATACATTATAAATAATAGAATTGCATCCATTTAGAGTTTTATCCATAAAGTACGAGTTTTACAATGGACATTGTATCACATTAACTTTAACGTTAGTAAAATACGATTTGCTGTTTCGACTTTATTCCCTTCATTTGCACATCATTCGTGTGCTATGTGAAACATTAAATTTCAAACAGAAATTCTCGTCTTTCTTTATAAAAGGTATGGTACAATTGAAAGAAAAAAAATTATGCATCCGATGAAACTAATATATCCAAAATCAATTTGATTTTTCATTTTAGAATACTGTAATAAAATGTGAACGTACACTCACTTGAGTTTTCAATGTATGATAGAAAAGAGATATCTGACAGTTCGTCGTACGACGTAAATACATCGGTATTTGTACTTTCTAGTAATTTCTAATTTCAAATTAAACTTCTTTTATTGCTTGACGGATAAACACTGAACTTCTAATCCAGCACCTAAAAAGATAATATAATAAAAATTCCAACACATCCCTTTCGATTTATAAACTTGTACTTATAATGGCAACTGCAGACTCACATTAAGGCCTCGATATTACCACTTAACGTCTCTTGTTCCCATGGCGTCGACCAAACTTTCGATTTTTTCTATAAAAACAAGTGAAATAATTATTGCCATGCTATTAATTAATAAAAAATATTCTTATCGAACAACGCGATAATATTTATAAAGAAAAATTAAGTAATTGTAGGAACATACCTAATTTTACTCGGTGAAGGAACTGGAGCGTGTTCGGCGATAACAGGTAATACAGAAGTGAATTTATCGGTTGGACGTAAAAGGCGCGCCGTACGAGAGGATAATCTCCATATCAGTCTTTGTTTATGAGGAGTTTGCTCTTGAGCATTATATTTGCTCAATATAGCACCTACGGCCTCATGCGTGGAGAAAAAATTTGTGTCCGAAATCTGTAAGCAGGAATAATGAATAAACACGGACATAATGATTTTATTGCAGAAATATAATGTGATCATTAACGTTGTTATTATTATTTTAACGTTACCTTACATATTTTCTGAAGATCTACTGCAAATTCCAAAAGTCTAAGTATCTGATGTTTCGGTATTACAGTCATATTACAGATCGCAGAGGAACTAGGTATAATGGTTGTAGATTTGGTAGTATCCGCATTTGTATCCAGTCGATTGACTGCACTATCTAAGTATGTGCAAAGTAAAAGAAGTGCAACTTCTGACGGCCTTAAACTTGCACAGTTACCATCGCAAGCAACCATTTCTAATCTCAGAAGGAGCTCGGATTCCTAAGACAATATAATAAGTTTCTGTTATTCTCATTTTAGTGCTAAAAATCTTTACTACAATAGATTAAACATATATCTCACTGTAACGATGTTATTGTACACCTCTCCTAAACCAAACTGTAATGCGACTGCATGGAACATAGCATGAAATAATCGAAGAAAAGTCAAGGGTGTAACAGGTTGTGTACCCGGTGCCCACTCTAGTTTGTTCCGTATCACTTCCGACATACGTTTCAAATCACCACCCGTGCATTTGCACTGGGAAATAGAGACTAAGTGATCAGCATCCAAGGACTGTGCTAACTGAACAGCAGCTATATGAAAAGCAGATACACTGATACAGGCCATATGTTTCGGCCTTGCTTTCATCTTTGTTAAGAAGCGGTCCATTAAATTGATGGCAATAAAAAACACGTCCGACGGTAAATCGTACCATACTTTCAAACACCTCAAAACATGGGCTGAACCATCACGAGCCCCGATCGTTATCTCATCATTCTGAAAAAGAGGATGGTACAAAATGGAAATTACTACAGACACAACATATACGAAAGTCTATTAATGCATCTTGTATACTTACTTGCGACATAGTCGGTAACTGAAGATTAGGTTGATATTTCACTTCTAGGACCAAAGCTTCTTGCAGTTGTTCGAGTAGCGGGTGGATTGCATCCGGTACAGGCAAGCCCGATGTGTCCATTCCTGCGATGTGTGACCAACAGCTAACTACAACAACAATGAAATAATAACACACAGAAGATGTGTAGTGTGGCTGATGATGCGGGTGTCACACAACAAGAATGGCGCAGCTGGCTAGCCTTGTATCTGTAACAATAATACGATAACGGATCTGAAAAAAGTTACTTAAACCAGCATTTGAATGTTTATTATATCCTTAATAGTAGTATCTGTTATAAAAACATTGTAAACACACAAATATTATTTAAAAAATATTTAAACAATTTGTTCTCCATGCTTCTGCCCTTTTACTAGGCTGTGACAATATGTGTCTGCATCCACGAGTAGTAAAACTGACAGTGAACTGTCAGTTTCAATGAATAGACAAGAAAACGAGTACATTTGGAATAACTTGGTTTCTATTTCAAATGTATGTATATACGATACAAAAATACGGAAGAGCTGAACAGCATGGTATCCGCGTACTTTTGCGAGTCGAACTTTTTAAAATTCGTTTCTCAATATTTTTAACGTTCACGAATTACATATGGTCGTCGGAACCAAGTGTCCGAGTCATCGCATATAATTAAAAAGTTTTAAGTTCCACTTATGATGCAATGGCCCTAGAGCATAAAAACATCTTTGTTTGGCACAATGCTGATATGTGTAACTGACATCGAATGAATAAATATTTATTTCACGATAACAGTATTAATCAAATGATACGAAGAACGGAGTAATGGTATCGAATCGTAAAAGCAACCTTAAATTATGCCGACTGCCACCGACGAACACCGCCAAAGAAAGATAACTACATATACAAAGCCATCGAACGGCTGATGCAACGAACTGTCAAAATCAAGGGTCAACTTTAAACGCTTGTACAAGTTTGTAACACAATGAAATCATATAGACGAATACACGGTACGTATTTTTTTAATTCGATTAACCTTCACATTTCAGTGTTGAACACTTTTGTGAATTACCGGATACAAGAATTGAAATGTTATCATGTGAAAAATTATATCGAACTATTCTGATTGTACTAGTTCTAAATGCTGACTTAAATAAGAAGAAATTGAACAGGCAGAAGTGAGTAACTGCAAAGAACATTTAGATTTCGAAGGTTAATGGCCGTTGGATTATCGATGGTGGTATGTTTTGTAATACTGTCGGTTATATGTAAGTGTGTAATATTGTGTTCGCATATATACTATTGACATACATGAAAAAAACACGGTCGTACGAGATCACTCAACTATGAAAAAAAACTATGCACATATGTACTACACTTCGTTTTTTCCATTGTTTGCGTAAGAGCAAAACAATTCCCATGAGGAACGAACATACGCTCTTTGAGCGTGTTCTCAACTCGACTGACTGCATCTCTATCTTGTATGTCGCATCTCGTCTTGCACCTCGCAACTGCTTTGTTAATCGTCAATCGTCACATCGTCACGTCGTCCCAGATGAACAATACCCGAACGATCACGGCGACAAACGAATTTCAAACGAACTTTACGAACGAAACGTTCTATGGTTGTATTCAAGCCGTTGACGTAACATGTTAAATATTGCCCGTAACACAGGCATTACCAAAATAATAGCTTATTCATATTATCATGTCATCCATTTTTAAAAATATGTGTCCCTGTATAAAAATGTAAAATTAAAAATACATTCCACGATTACCGCTGATTACGCTATTATGTATGCAACTATCGATTAACCATTGAGAAAATAACACCTTGAATAAAATAATTACCGCTTCTACGAATGAAAGATATACGTTTTCATGCATTCTATTTTGAAAAGCTTGATATAATAATATACAGCAAATGTTGAATGGGGCAGAGTAGCAGGTGGAAGTACAATTAAAAAGATTGGTCCGCTTTAAGCTACATCGCAGAAAATAATCTTTTTTATGGACTTGTTATCGTCTCGATTGTAAAACAATTACAAACATATACATATTCATCGTACCATTTGAGTCTTACCACCATTTTGTCTTAGCTGGACAATCGAATTTATGTACGTACGTATGCATGCATGTACGTACGTATGCATGTATGTACATACGTATGTATGCATGCATGTATGTATGTATGTATGTATGTATGTATGTATGTATGTATGTATGTATGTATGTATGTATGTATGTATGTATGTATGTATGTATGTATGTATGTATGTATGTATGTATGTATGTATGTATGTATGTATGTATGTATGTATGTATGTATGTATGTATGTATGTATGTATGTATGTATGTATGTATGTATGTATGTATGTATGTATGTATGTATGTATGTATGTATGTATGTATGTATGTATGTATGTATGTATGTATGTATGTATGTATGTATGTATGTATGTATGTATGTATGTATGTATGTATGTATGTATGTATGTATGTATGTATGTATGTATGTATGTATGTATGTATGTATGTATGTATGTATGTATGTATGTATGTATGTATGTATGTATGTATGTATGTATGTATGTATGTATGTATGTATGTATGTATGTATGTATGTATGTATGTATGTATGTATGTATGTATGTATGTATGTATGTATGTATGTATGTATGTATGTATGTATGTATGTATGTATGTATGTATGTATGTATGTATGTATGTATGTATGTATGTATGTATGTATGTATGTATGTATGTATGTATGTATGTATGTATGTATGTATGTATGTATGTATGTATGTATGTATGTATGTATGTATGTATGTATGTATGTATGTATGTATGTATGTATGTATGTATGTATGTATGTATGTATGTATGTATGTATGTATGTATGTATGTATGTATGTATGTATGTATGTATGTATGTATGTATGTATGTATGTATGTATGTATGTATGTATGTATATACGTACGTATGCATGTATGTACATACGTATGTATGCATGCATGTATGTATGTATGTATGTATGTATGTATGTATGTATGTATGTATGTAGCAATAATACATGTAATAGAAAAACTAGAAAATTTCGTACGATAACTCACCCGGATGCGTCCGAAACGCTTTCACGTTAATAGATCACCCAATCTTGGCTTTTTTTTATCGTATTCGTCGGTACATAGAGGAAACAGACACGCAGACGAACTACTGAGTTTGACAGTTGTTCTAACAATAAGAAATGGCGGAACCACGTACGTTCAGCTGATCATTACGCGTTACGGAGTCAACGCACGCTCATGCGTATTAAAAGTAGTTCCTTCACGAATTTAAAACTTATAACGTAAAGTAATGTAAAGACGTAAATAATTGTCATCGTTCGAAAAATGTTATTTCGGTGTAACATACAAAATTAGCTTTTATCATTTTTTTCTTTTTTTTTTTAAATTAACGTAAATGGTGGTTTGATAACCTTACGATTTAACGAATGAAACGTATCGATATCGATGAAATCGAATAAATACATGTGCAATTATCTTTTTATGGATACATAAATATGATTATTAATATACGCGTAACAGGTTTGCTGCTTTGTTTATTTTTATCGTTTATCGCTTTCGTCATTGCCGATTGAACTGAATATAACGTGACTAGAATTCAAAATTGAATACTTTCTTCAGACTTTGGACGAACTTGGTCAAATGGGTCACCACATACTTTTCTTCATGAATTACTGAAAATTTGTCGGGGATAGTTACCGTTTAGAAACATTTTTTTTTAATGAAATAACTATTCCGATAGAATTGTTTTACATAGAATTAATTTAAATTACATTAGAAGAAGTATTAACAGGTTTTATATTTGTAATAACTTCTATCTTTCCTGGACTTACATTATATCCTAATAAAGTATAAAATATGTATTTTATCTATTTTTGTCAACAGTTGAATTTTTATCTAATTTTGCTTGTTCAGCTTCTTCCTTTTCCAATGCCTTTACAGTAGCTTCCAAAGTAAACAGATGCTCGTCGGACACATTCGGTGCTATTATTCGCATTGCAGACGCTAATTTATATAAATATTCGGTATTAGTTCCGCTAGGACCACGAGATACAAGTATGTGTTTAGCTATTGTAAAAACATCTTCTACACCCGCATAATTTGGATTATCTTCTCCACCTATATAAATTGTAATGTAAAACGGTGTATTATCTTCACTTAACGGTATTAATTTTGTACATCCAAGGATGCCCTGAGTAGAATTATTTTCTAACGAATGTACTCCAATGTTTTCTATCGAATAAGATGGATAAAAGGGGACACTTTTCCTTTCGTAGCCACCTTTTTCTCTGTAGTCCAAGTGTTTAACAACTTTATTTATGTCTTCGGATGATATTTTATATGCGATACCCCATACTTCGTCTTTGGCATTATTTGATGCTACCAATGTGACAACTCTGCCAGGCTAAAATGAATTTTATGCTCTGTTAAATCAATTTGTAAAAATTAGAGAAATGCAAATACAAATTATTGCCAATCAATAAAATGCCTTTGATAAACACATAGCTATAGTAATAAAGGATAAAAGAGATTTTGATGAAGAAATTATTATCGCAGACATACTCTACTGGGTATTCCTCTGTGGTCTGTACTTTTTTGATAAAATCTCCTACTGTACCCTTTAATGTGTCCGACCAAAATTTTTTCATACGGAAAATCTGCTTTCCATATAAGTGAACCATAACCAAATACCCACATTATAACTTATAGCATTACGCGATAATTATTTTAACAGCTCATTTCGATTTTCAATAAAAACGTTGCTCATCGATAAGTTGAAACCGTTAATATCTAGAATGATAAAAAAATGACTTATTGTAGATACTAGTTCTAAGAATATTTTACATTAAAAACACGTTAAACTGTTTATCAACAGTCATCGAACAGTCATAATTCATATATGTAGAGAGAGAGAGAGAGAGAGAACACATGTATCTATACCTGTCTTTTACATACCAAAATTTTCTACAAATACTTCTGATAGATATGTTTTTGGAAGAACTTGTAATTTGAATACATATACAACCATATTTAAAGCACTGTTTGTTCGAACCACTTTTTCATGGTTTCAGCATGATGCCTATACAGAACGTACAGAGTACCGAGTACGGAAGAACAGTCAAGATCAAGAATCGCCTACTAATAAAACCACGCCTCCAAAGAATGAATCTCGCGGTGGGGAGGCAATCTATGAATTTATAAAGTAAAGGAGCACACTTAATTCTCAACCGGAGAGTTATATATGTATATTTTCAACAAATACGCTCAAACATAGAAATGTAACTATTTTCTATTTTACTCCGATTAACTAACGAAATTATATTGTATGTGCATACTTATGTATCGCAACAATGTTGCCTCGTGGCCATAGACAAACAGGGATAATATAAAAATACAGGGCAGGTCATGCATGATTTTTCACCTATCTATTATGCTATAATATGCTATAGATAAATTCTCAGATTATTTTTTTAATTTAATAAACACACAAACAAACGAATGTATTTACAGTATAATACATCGAAATGTAATTGATTGAAATCACGTTATGTGTAACATAAATTTAGTAACCATATTTGTCGTTAAGACTCGTTTTTCCATCCCCTTCTTGTCCTTGTGGAGGAATCCACATAGAATAATTGTCGGCATAAATATCTTGATCACAAGATACTATTTTCCGACGTTTTTTTTCTCGGTTAGACCTATTTATGCTGATTGTGGAAGTAATATCATTAGCATCGACTGTAGTGATAGTATCAGTATTGTCAGCATCGGTGGTGGTAGGAATAGTAATAGTAGCAGTAGCAGTACTAGTAGTGGTACTACTACTAGTAGTAGTAGTAGTAGTAGTAGTAGTAGTAGTAGTGGTAGTAGCAACGGTATCTGCATTAGATGTGCAAGAGTGTCGTAGTTCACAAACGTTTTTGTTTATGCGAGGAGACGAATTTGAAAGCAATTCATCTTTGTTTGCATCTTCAGGATCCGATTCTTCTTCAGATTCCTCTTCCATGCTATCCTTAGCAGATGTATATGATATTAATCCAGCGACGTTTCCGTTTGACCGACGATTATTAAGTTTTCCCTAAGGCATGTTGAAAGTTGATATTAAGATTGTAAATAAAGAAAACTACAAAAAAACGAATAGATGTACCTTTCTAAGTTCAAGCATGTAACGTTGGATTTTACTTGCTTTTGATATGTCTTGTATAGTATTCATAATTATTTTATCTCGATCAGTTGTTGAATTTGTTGTTATACTTTGTTGAACAAGTGCCGGTAAATTTGCTGGTCGTGTCAAATCTAATAATTTCATTACGCTCGCTTCTTCTTTACGAAGAGTCAGTAGTTCCAGTTTCATCTTGACAATGTCGTTTTTAGACAAAGCGGACGAACTTAAATTTAACATAAAAGCATCCAAGGCGTCTTCTTCCGATGTTTCTGCCCTCATATTAGTTTCATATTGCCAATTTTTAATCGAATCTGTCAGATGCGAAATCCGTTTTAGAATTTTCCCATACTTTTCAAGCTGAAAGAAATCCAAGAATTACGGATACAATGATACGTCTATTATGAGAAATGTATAGTGCACAATTGTCAAGCTTACCAAGGAATTGTATGTTTCCACTTTTTCTTCCAATTTGCCAGCCAGCCGCATTCTTTGTTCACGTTTTCTTTCTATCGATCCTGTCCTATCTAAAAAATTGTCCTCGTCCGAATCATAGTAATCTTCGGCTTCCCAGTTTCTTGTTTTCCGTTTTTTTGCTTCTACAAGGGGACACAACAGATATATTAAGAAAAGAAACAAATTCGAGCTCAGATCAGATTCACGCACTCACCATGATGCGATTGTCTTAGTAATCCATATTTGTCCAATATTTTACAAGCTTCTAGCGCACATTTCACTACAGCTTCTTTTTTTTTGCCCTTGACAAGAGCTTCTGCTTTCAAAGAGTGACCTACAATATCTTCCATGGGTAGTCTGCAATTCATGTAATTAAATATATCAAAAAAGGGAATACAGCTTACAGACACAGTATTCGAAGATCGATTAGATTCAAAACGGACACTTACTCTACCCAACATAAAAATTGACCAGGTCCTCTTTCTTCTGTTTTGTACTGTAGATCATATCCTTCTCTCTCGAACCAACCTCTTAAGGTCTTTTTAGGGTCTTCCAAAACTAACTCCTCGTCGCCAATGCANACGTCTATTATGAGAAATGTATAGTGCACAATTGTCAAGCTTACCAAGGAATTGTATGTTTCCACTTTTTCTTCCAATTTGCCAGCCAGCCGCATTCTTTGTTCACGTTTTCTTTCTATCGATCCTGTCCTATCTAAAAAATTGTCCTCGTCCGAATCATAGTAATCTTCGGCTTCCCAGTTTCTTGTTTTCCGTTTTTTTGCTTCTACAAGGGGACACAACAGATATATTAAGAAAAGAAACAAATTCGAGCTCAGATCAGATTCACGCACTCACCATGATGCGATTGTCTTAGTAATCCATATTTGTCCAATATTTTACAAGCTTCTAGCGCACATTTCACTACAGCTTCTTTTTTTTTGCCCTTGACAAGAGCTTCTGCTTTCAAAGAGTGACCTACAATATCTTCCATGGGTAGTCTGCAATTCATGTAATTAAATATATCAAAAAAGGGAATACAGCTTACAGACACAGTATTCGAAGATCGATTAGATTCAAAACGGACACTTACTCTACCCAACATAAAAATTGACCAGGTCCTCTTTCTTCTGTTTTGTACTGTAGATCATATCCTTCTCTCTCGAACCAACCTCTTAAGGTCTTTTTAGGGTCTTCCAAAACTAACTCCTCGTCGCCAATGCAGGCATAAGGATTCTCTTGCAAATCTGTTTCTTCATTAGCATCCTCTCTCATACCCCAGTCAATACCATCGGTCTCTTTGTTTTCATTAAATGATTCATCATCTTGGTTGCCAGGTTTTTCTAGCTTCGATGCTCGCATTTGCTATAAGATTGTTGTTTGTTACATGCATTAATGCTTATATCGTATCCATCGAATATATGTATACACAGTAGTACCTCAATAATTATATTTAAAAAAGTAAACAGTATAAAATACCTTCAATTCTGATATTGTGTACAGAGATTCCTCTTCTTGATCATCCAATGGAGCTTGTAATATGAATTTTCTCTGACTACATCCAAATCTGAGCATATGACCACCTCGCAGCCGTACATAAATATTAGGTTTAATACGACTTCCATTCCAAAAAGTACCATGAGTACTTCCTAGGTCATATACATAAAGGCCTTTAGAGTGTTCACGATCTTCTATCGATCTGTACTGTAAGACAGCATGATGCCGAGAAATTGTTGGATGAGCTAACGATATGTGACACGATGGTAGGCGTCCAATGACATAAAAACTTTGTTTCGTGAGCGAAATTGTGTCTATAATGACGCCAGATTTTAATACCTCCATTTTGTAATCTTTTTCTGCTTTTCCACTCCAAGGAGGTTCCATGTAAGGAAACGGTGAATCCTTAAAATGTTCTTGAGATTTTTCCACTATAACCAAGCTTTCTGGGTTTCCAATCGAAAAGACAGGGCACGTTTTCAAATGTTTACCTTCTAATCGAGAACGTTCGAGTCCAGTAACAGTCGGTTTTTTAAAAACTATGTCGGTACTACTGGTCTCATTAGGAATTTTTAAGGAATCAGTTCTATTATTTTCCATCGAACTGGATAAGGTGCTATCACAGCCTTTTTCGTCGTCTAGTTTTCTTACTTTCTCGTTGTTCGAATTCATTGTAATCTCGTTCATTTCCATTTCACGCAATAATTCTTCCTCATTTACTTTTATTTCCATAATTACTTTCACCAACAACGTTAAGAAAGCGTTCGTTAGAAGTTCGCATCGATATTGACCGGAATAGTGAAATAATGTAATCACATACTATCAGGGGGCTCGACTAAAATTCAATATGGCGATTTATTTAATTCTGGTTTTGCCAAACAAATGGTTACGCCACCTGTGATAAAAAATGTAGAAAATTCTACCTTATTTAAACTCAGTTCTAGTTGTACGCTTAGACCTCTTTTACATGACGATTTGTGATTACATCGCGCGATTCACGTTCAATACACTGTATTTGAAGTTAGATTCAAATGAACACTCCCATTGAATTACACGTACGGTTGGTATCCATCAAACGCGAACTAGCCGTGTGAAAGACCGTCTTTCATTTCTCTGTCTCAGGTTTAGAGCTTGGAGCTTTCTAACTATGTAATAACCTTTCTGTAATAACACTTCACGGTGTATATATATAAGTGGATAACTTTCAATTAAATACCGTGTTATCGAAGTCAGGTAATGTAGAAAATTGTAATGGAGTCAAAAGTACATATACGTACGTACCGACTTATTAGTTGCAATATCTCGCCACAATAGTCTGCCAAAATGTCAAATGTCCATCTCGTGGACATAGCAGTGTTCTCATCTCATGCACAATATGCACAATGGTGCGCAATGGTTCCAACCATTCCGACGTAAAAAAGTTAAGGTGACGTGTATCCTATTTTTCAGTTTCTTGGTTGTGGTTTTGTAAAATGAATACATTTAAACGAGATAAGAAGGAGGAGGAAGATGGTAACTATGAACATACGTGCTCTACCTCTCATATTTAATGTAAGTTTTAAGTTGTAATCGAAACTAAACGGGTGGTCAGCCACGTTCTTGTGGCAGTTCCTACCGAACAGGTTGAGACGACTTTTTCGTAAAAGTTCGAAGAAGCAGTAGTATTCCTTCACTGAAATCTTTCAATCTATATCTCTTATCCGAGTGACATTCAGATGGTCGATTTTATTATGTTTTACTTAACGTAATCTTTTTTTCTTTAGGTGAGGGGAATCCTTTCCAAAATTTAGAGAAGACAACTATGACGACGAGGTTCGTCATCGTGCGGCTTACTATTGCGCCATACTCCAACAGCAAATGGATCCCGCTATTCTCCCACCCTCGATACAACCTCCCCATCTGACCGTGTCTGGTTTAGAAGTAGCCTTAATGAAATACATGCATACATCCATGAATGAACCATTCGATATCTCTCAGGTAATCATATAAGCATTTCAGCGTACGTTAATATCTACAAATGATCGTCAGCATCTAGTCGATGAAATTTTGATTGTTTTCAGATTCCTTCGGCACAGACAATGGACGAATTATTGGAAGCCGTAGATCAGATAGTTGACAAAAAAACGAAGAAGTTTTATACGAGAACGATGCATGATTGATCGGCGTTACTAGATATACCACAATTGGAGTTGTTGATTTGCAATTTGATACTAGTTAAATCATCGCCTGAATTCGATCCAACAGAATCGGAGACAGAATACCACATAAAGTGCATCAAGCATGGGCGGTTACTTCAGAGATGATAAAGAAATTCTTGCACGTGCAAGATTAGCATTATCCGGCACTCAAGTGACAATGCAATTAACGGTTCTATGTTCAGATCCGGATGTTGCTGAATTAATCATCTCTTCTGTAGGATAATTCGAAACCTAAGTATTTCATCATATTTCGGGGTCAGCGGGTCTACATATATATGTATATAACGGTAATCTATGTCACCACGATTTCGATATTTTTAGTATTATAAGAATAAGATTACATTAACGTAATGTGTAAAAAAAAGAAAAAAGAATGTTTTTTAAGAAACGCTTGCATTTGTTTTGNATGACAATGCAATTAACGGTTCTATGTTCAGATCCGGATGTCGCAGAATTAACTTCGGGGTCAGCGGGTCTACATATATGCATATAACGGTAATCTATATCACCACGATTTCGATATTTTTAGTATTATAAGAATAAGATTACATTAACGTAATGTGTAAAAAAAAGAAAAAAGAATGTTTTTTAAGAAACGCTTGCATTTGTTTTGTGTATACCTTTATTGTGTAATTAACATACACATCACAAGCTATTGTACAATTTCACAAACTATCTTTTTGTATTCTAAACGTAACACGCAATACTAACGATATTTCATATACATAGAGTAGATTCTTCATACTGAATTAGTGAATCGCTTCGTGTTCGTTAGTAAATTGGTGATAAGAAAAATTATTGCGCTTGGACGTTTGCGATATCATATTTATGTTTCGGTATAGTTGGTAAATACTTAACATATTCCGCATCGGTTTTGAAAGATTTGCAGAAATTATTCTAAGATAAATAACCTAAGTAATAGTTAAAATTGACAACTGATCGCTTACACAAGAAAATAATTGATTATTGTTGAACGCTTCATTATATTATCCAATGTTTCAACGATCAATTAAAATAATTACAATCAACCAAAAACTTTGTCATAAAAGCTATTACAACGCGCTTGCAAATTTTGAGTCGTACGAACTTCGACACAAGAGGTTTGTAGAAAAACGCATTTTCGCATTGAACATTTATTTTACGATGTACAATCCTCGTTTCATACGGTGGGTAATATACTGAAGCGAAATATTGATTACAGTAATACTTGTGCACAGCAACAAATGCACCGACGTAGGTATACGCAATTTCGTGCACGCTACTCGCACATTACAATACAGTGTACAAATTATATTCTAGTCGTAATGTACGATACAGGGTGTTCAGAATATTATGTAAGTAAAAATGATCGTGGTTCGAGGGGCATTATAAAAATGCTTTTGGCGTATATCACTTACACATATACATTTATAAGAAAACTTTAGGTTTACGTCATACACAATAAGTTTGAAAATAATGGTAACCAAAACTATATAGATACCTGTTGTTTTTCTGCTGAGCACAACACGTAGTAGATACGTTTGTACAGCGTATTACGAACCTAAAGCCACTTTTTTCTACACATCACATGGTCCAGATCAACATACATTGAGAAATAAATTGATTGAATCGTCTCGTAGATATTAACTGCTTTCAGGCGAACGTTACAATCTATCATTTACTGACACGATCGATAGTATTTCTCTAGTGTACGGACGAAGATTTAATTAAATGAGCAGACGATTGTTTTACACTAACTTGTTGGTGGCGGTGGTGGCGGTGGTTGCGCCAAGAGCGTAGGTAAAGTGTTGAGATCGATGCCAGGCGGAGCTGGTGTTTGTTGCTGCGGAGGAGGTGGAACCGGTGCCGCCGGTGGCCATCCACCCATTTGTTGCGGCTGCCATCCTGGAAATCCTGGCGGCGGAGCTGTTCCAGGCGGAGGTGGCCGCATTGGTCCTTGCTGGCCCTGTTGCCACGGTGGAATACCCATGCCAGGAGGTGGGATCTGTGTTGGTGGCATTTGTCCAGGCGGCGGTGGCTGATTATTGCCAGCCATCCAGGGCATCAACGGAGGGATATTCGGTTGGGACGTAGAGCCCGGCGGTGGTGGTGGCGGTTGCATTACACCAGGTGGAGGAGGCATGCTAACCGGTGGTTGCCATTGCATGTTCATACCATTCATGTTGCTTACTTCACCTTGACTCCACGGTGGTGGAGCCATGCCTGGCGGTGGCATCATTGGTCCGCCTTGCATCATTTGTGGAGGCGGATGAGCTGGTGCCGCCATTAAAGCACGAGGAGCTTGTTGTCTAAACGGAGAAACATTATAAAACTATAGGTTAACCATTCGAAATATTACCACTTTTTACAACACGATCTTCTTACCTGTCGAAAAGACCCGGATAATTTGGATTTGGGTTTGGTTGTCGTTGTTGTCCACTTTTCGATCTATCAGGCGGCGGACCCTCGCCTAATTCTGCCATAAGAGACATATATTCCTCATCGATTTTAGCTTTATCACCGCCAGGTCCCATTCCTCCCATTCCTGCGGCAGCTGGTCCACCCTGACCTGGTCTTTTAGACCGACAATCGCGAGCGATATGGCCTGCTCCTCCGCAGCTCGAGCACACTATGTTGTTTGTTACATTTGGCTTATCTGGACACTATAGCAATCAAAATGAAAATACATATAAGACAAGCGTCTCTTTATCAAGGCGCTTGTTAAAAGTACAAGGGGATTAAGTAATATATTGTGCGAACCAGCCACGATTTGTGATCCGATGCGCCGCAATTAGTACAACGTGGTCCATCATTTTCTCGCAATGTTCCATTCAATAAAGCCAACTCTCTAAGCTGATTACGTCGTAAATCATTTTGTCCTTCAGGCACTTCCACACCTTGTCGTATAATTTCATGAATCTGTTGGAAAAAATGAAAGCATTAAAATATATTAATTTATAAAATCATGCGCAATACGATAATGGCTACGCAACCAAAACGCGACCATACTCTTTCAACAGCTTTCTTTACAGCATCCAAATTATTGGCTGTAATATACGCATGCAGAGGTTCATCCTCGCCAGGCAAAGGTTGTCCATCTTTCCTTCCAACTTTTCCCTCTTTCACGGAGCCTTTACCCCGAATTATGATCTTCGCACCAGTTTCCTTCTCCATTGCTGTATATTAGCAAAGAATAAGTCATGACGTGCATGGAATTTCTATCATGCATTCACAGCATTTACTTACACTTCAATGTATTGCCACGTGGGCCAATAAGCAGACCAACAAAGTTGATGTCTGGATGTTCCTCTTGAGGAATCATTACTTTGTCATGTACCCGTATTATCGGAGGCCTAGATACGAGATACAAGAAAACCAAACGTTATTGGGAAAATCTCCTTCGTTAATTCTTCATATGCTTTAATCTTACTTATAATCTGGCGGAGGTTTGAACTCGGGATTAATTTTGAGAATCTTCTGAATAAGATTGTGACGTTCTTCTTCCAATTTACGTCTAGTACGGTATTCCCTTGTGTTCAACCGTTTACCATCGCTACTGTATATTGGTTCTGGAGATGGTGATCTGTAAAACAAAAGAACAAAAGAATACGTTAAGATACAAAGTCTGAATCAAGATGATACTAGCATACAAGCAACCTGATCCTACTATGACTGTGTGATTAAGTGAGGAAAGAGCTGCTGATTATTAACAGAAAGTTGGTAATTGGGACAATGCTTTGATTTTCTGTTTTTCTTTTTTTTTTTTTTTTCAACGTTATTTGGCTT